GGGTCGAGCTGGGAGTCAGTAATAGTAATGCCTTTTTTTTATTTTTTTTTTTTTTTTATTGTGTTGTAGGGCAGGATGGCTTCGGTTGAAGGGGAGACGCTGTCCCAAGATGAACTCCGGAAAAGGCTCTATCAGACTTTTAAGACCCGAGGGGTACTGGACACACTTAAGGTGTGTTTTATTTCCAACAGGTGCTGGCTGTGTTTCGCTGTACTACTCAACACTGGAAGCAGTGAAAGCCATGCCGATTAAATGTGTTTCCCACTCTCCCCAGCTGTATTAGTATTTTGCCACAGCCTAATTCATATTCAGCAAGTTGGGGTTTTTTTTGTTTTCTTTTATTTTGCCAGAAACTAGGTTCTTCCTAAACAGAAGTGCTTTTCGTTGTGGATTAGTCTCAGAGTCTTTTTCAGGAAGGTTAAAGGCCTGTATCTGGTCTTTGAAAATTTCCATGCTTGAGAAAATTCAAGCAGGAAAGAGAGGAATAAATAAGAATACAGAGTTGGAAAGGACCTCTTAGGTCGCAGAGTCTGTTTGTTACCTGTTGTAAGTAAAGATGGTACGTGAATTCTCCTCCTGAAATACTGCAGTTCTTTTGTAAGACTTAGAGCTGTTTTCTGCTTGTCTGTTCGTTGAGGAGAATGTCTTTGAATATGGTTGTGTTCGAGAGTGAAAGTTTGTTCTGAGTTGTAGCCTGGGTTTATTTGTGGTTACTCTGGCTTTTTTTCTTGTGCTGAAAGTATCCCTCAGTTTAAGTAGCTCTTGCTTTTCTTGATGAATTTATAGGCAGCAGTCATACGTTTTCTTCAGCATTCTGTTCTACAATGCTAAGCAAGTCAAGGTACAGTAGTCTTGTTGCTGGTTATCCTGGTAGTCCTCTGCATCACTTTGAAGTCTTTCCCCATTTTTTAAAGGAAGTAGATCGTGACTGTTGTGAGCTTTCGAGACAAAATTTAGAAGGGCTTAATTCCTCCCTATTTTTGTGCGAAAGTCTGTGGAAGGCTGCATATATGTCTTTTTGAGGCATGTTACATTTGTAGCACTAGTAATTGTTTGATTGACACATCCACATCTTGCTTTTTCCAAGCAATAAATCCTTTTTATTATAGCAGAAATTGCTGTCAGGCCTTAAATGCTGAAATGTTGTATTTCATGCAGCTTCAGTTTTGCTAGTCTTTAAACATCGTATGGTTGTATTTTTTTATGATGTCTTGAGCTTTCTATTGTCACCAGATTTTTTTTAGCTGCTGCTTTTTATGTCAAATTTATTGATGTTAAAAAAAAAAAATCAAGATCTATATTTTAAGAATACCACTGGTAATCTTATAGCCAAGAATTCCCTGTTCAAGACAACTTGTTTCTCCCTCAGTGGTGTCCATGCCAAGCTTGCAGTGTTTGAACCATTTCTTGTCTTGTTTGACTTAACTAATAATCTGTCAGGTGGCATGCTATTTAACTCCATTTTTCTGCCTTGTTACATAGAATCACAGAATGGTAGGGGTTGGAAGGGACCTCTGTGAGTCATCTGGTCCAACCCCCCTGCCGAAGCAGGGTCACCTACAGCAGGCTG